ATTGCTTCTCTGGAAGATTCTCTCTCTATATCTCTGTTGTCTCCCTTTCAAGAAAGTAAAAATAAATTTTAAAAATATAAAATAATGTCAGCAGTGTGATTGACAAATATTAAATTTGGATACAGCTTAGTCTGAGAGTCAAATGGATTTAATAAATATACTCCAAACTAACTAGACTTAATAATTGTCTTAGTCTGTTGGTACCTATCTGAAAGATTACCAGAGCTGGATAGTTTATGAGTAATAGTGATTTATTTCTAACAGCTCTAGAGAGTGGGAACACCAAGATCAAGGTGCCATCCTTGATGGGACAACAGAAGCATGCAAAAAGGCAAGATAACCAAATGTCTCATGAAGCTCTTCTTTTCTAAAATAAGGACCTTAACCTCCTTTTTAAAGGAGGATCCCTCATTGTCTAATCACCTCTGAAAGTTTTTACTTGGCACTATCACACTGGCAGCATCTGAATTTTGCAAAGGACACATTCAGTCGGTAACACCCACCAACACATGATGCGTAATACTGGGCTTGTAGGCTGTCAGGTTGTGGGTCTGAGTAAAGAGATACCTTGGGGAGGATAAAAGAGAATGGCTAGCTTCAAGGGGGTGCAAAGGAGGGGCTGTGTATATAACTGTTCTCCCAATCAGAATCAGTTGAATAAAAGGAGGAGACCAAAGTCTGTACTGATACAGAAGAAGCATGAGGAATGGGGTGAAGACTCTCCCCAAAAACTGGTAGCACTCTCGCTTTGTGAAGGTATGTTTTTTGCATAAGTTTATGTTGAATTACATTTTGGGTGCAAGCCAGGAACTGATACAAATATCTTTTAGATGTAATAAGAACCTTTGAATGGAAAGTGTAAAAATACCAATGGCTATAGACAAAGGAAATGAAATAAAAATTTGTGAATGTTTACATGCAGGTAGTGATGGAAAGGTATTGTAATGAGTTTGGAAGTAGATTGAAGCACATGGTCCTGGCTGGGTTCAGCTGGCACAGATGAAAGCAAGTGGTGGAGGAAAGACATCGACTGTAAGGAAACATTTGCCCCAAACCATTGTGCTTCTGTCTGGAGGGAATAACAGAGAGGGTGGGAGCAAGGACAGACTTGCCACAGGCATCTCAATGTTAACCAATTGACTGCTCTTATTCTGGAGTGCATGGGCCAATTCCAGCTGTAGATGAGCAAATTTACCTTAAGAGAATCCTTTGCTATGATAAAAACTTTGTATTATAAACCTGCTTCTCTGATTTTACAGAGTCAGGTAAATAAATGAATTCTGACACTTCCCAACCAAAAGAAAAAAAAAATGACAAAACAAAATCTATTTAATCCATGCGCTTGGCACACTTAGAATTATCCTTCCAATACACTTTAACTAGTTCTAGACTGACAGCTGCTTCTCCAGACAGTATAATTCAGTAGTCCCTGGTTCAGGACTCGCTCTGGATAAGAGTCCCTAATACGTGAACTAAGGGATTGGCACATGCACAGATTGTTCCTGATAATGCCACTTAAAAAGAACATTCAAGGATCTATACCACCTACCTCTAGATAGGTTAACTATTTTAACTACACTATCTGATATTTCAACAATGTATGCAGAGCAACAAAGCCTCGAGTTTGTTGTTTAAATGTCTTTGATGCTGTGTCATAACAAATTAGCTTGTAAATATTGCCAATTTGGCAGACAAAGCTGATTATTTCCTGCAATCACACTGCATATGTGCACAAGATTATAATTAATGACCAGGGATGCCAGCCACACTTTAATAATGATCTTTCAATGTTTAGGAACCGAGCAGAGAAACTGACATGTGTGCCCTCTTTGGGGGTAGAAGCGAAAGGAAAAAAGGCATTGAATGTGGATAGATCTATCAGTGTCAGGAAGTCAATAGTTTGCTTATTTCTGTTATAAATTTGAAGAATCTGGGGGAGTTATTGACAGAACTGCTGCTGTGAATATTAACAGAGTGTTTATGTAGCCTTCACTGAAGCAGTGCAAGACTTAATTAGATTGGAATTGGTCTTTTGGCAACTTTGCAATATTTACTTCCTCGACCTATCAGAAAGCTATGTGAAGATTACGAGATTAGTGAAATCCTCAGAAGAATTATTGAACACAAAATGTCAAGATATCAAAGGTGTTTCATCATAAAGAGATGAGATTTATCAACTCTTAACTTCCCCACTATTTATGCTCTTTATAGACTACTTTTCATTACTTGACAACAATATGGCCGAAAGGTGGTACTTTTCACTAAACAATAACATTTACAGATTAAAAGGGAGCAAGAGGTGAGAGAGAAAGCACATATTTTTATAAGTGGTTTCTATGTAAGAAAATAATTCAAAATCTTCCTATTACAAAATGACTTCTTGATTATCTGGAGGATTCACCCTGAGATTTTTTTTTTTTAAGATTTATTTATTTTTATTTGAAAGGAAAATTTAGAGATAAAGAGAAAGGTATTTCATCCACTGGTTCACTCCCCAAGTAGCCGCCAACAGTTACAGCTTCTTTCTGAGTCTCCCGTGTGGATGCAGGAGCCCATGGACCTGGGCCATCCTTTGCTGCTTTCCTAGGCCACAGGCAGGAAGCTGGATGGAAAGTGGAGTAACTGGGACACAAACAGGCTCCCTAGAACCCATAGGGGATGCTAGTGCTTGAAGGCGGAAGCTTAGCTTGTTGAGCCACAGTGATGACCCCCCAACCTGAGTTTCTATTTTTAGATTGTCTATCTAAAAAATTATTTTTTGAGTTTTACTTTTATTGGAAAGTCAGATATACAGAGAGGAAGATCTTCCATCTGATCAATCACTCCCCGAGTGACTACAAAGGTCAGAGCTGAGCCGATCCAAAGCCAGGAGCCAGCAGCTTCTTCTGAGTTTCCCACATGGGTGCAGGGTGGCAAGGCTTTGGACTGTCCTTGACTGCTTTCCCAGGCTACAAGTAGGGAACTGGATGGGAAGCAGGGCCACTGGGATTAGAACTGGCTCTTATAGGGGATCCTGACCCATGCCACGTGAGGACTTTAGCTGCTAGGCAACAGTGCTGGGCCCCAACATGAAGAATTTGATTTGATCACCATTTGGGACTGTTTCCTATATAAATTGAGGTACACCATACTCCTATGTGTCTTTTTTGGGGGGGATATTGCTTACTATAATTCTACAATCTTTTATTAACCTTAGTTTTTTTCTTCTAGAACATTTTTATCAAAATATGTACTAGATTATACTATGACAAATTTACTCTGCTTTGAAAATATACTCTAATTATATTTACAGTAGGGTTGTATAGACTAGTTATGAACAGAAACCCAGTTAAACATTGTAGGTTAATAAAAGAAAAAAAAAGAAAGAAATAGGAACCAACATCAAAGGTCATGTACCACTTTCAGAATATAATGAGAGCAGAGATTATGTCCTAATGATGACTTGGATGGCACTTCTTTGGGATTTTTCAAGAGCTAGGTTCTTCCGTTAGCAGCATTCTCTGCTAGGTGTGTGTGTGTATGCTTGAATAGGAAGCAGAGATTTTTCTGTGTGCTTGATCTTCTGGTTTGATCAAGTTAAAGTTAGAGAAATTACATACAGTCTATTTCCTTTTCCTCAAAGTTGAATTGAATAAACATATAGAGATTGGCAAGCAGATACCAAAATGAGGGATATCATTTTGTTTTTTTCTTTTTTTGTTTTGTTTTATTTTTTTGAATTTTATGGTACAATTTTGTAGAGAGTGGGATTTTTCCCTCACAAACTCCCACCCCAAACTGGTGTTCCCCATTTTGCTACAATAGTATAGTTATTAATTAGTAGTCATGAATCCATCAATCTGTTACCTAAGTGTGTCCCAACATTGCTGGGATACCATTTTCTTTGTAAAGGTTTTTCAGGGTTTTATTTTTGTCAATTATTCTTCATTTTTGATTCATAATTGTTTTTAATAGAAAGTCTAAAAAGGATAATCGAGTTGTATTCAGCCTATGAATTGCTTAAATACAGATTGAAAGTAATTGTTTATCAAGTAAGCAGTTACAGAGATGTAAGTGTGAATGCCTTGCATATTGAAAAGCTAAAGGCTATAAAATGAAAAGCAAGGTATGCATAGAAAAGTAATACTAAGTCTCATGATTGTGATCTGACTCTGGAATGCTTCATTGGGATCAGGAATCCACATCAGCCCCACTGATATGAGCAGTTTTGCTCTGGAAATAAAGTAGAGGCAGCACTATTTTAACTTCAAAGTAGGGAGGTAATTAATGATGCTATCTTTGCAATATATCTTATGTAAAAACTGCCTAGTAGTCATAAAATTTTATTACTTTCTATGATTTTTCTTTATAATTTGAGTATATTTTTTTCTCCTGAAAAAATCTAGACATAATTACCTTACAGTGCTGTGCATACAGTGGGCCAAGAGCAAATCCTTCATGAGCAGATGAAGTTTGATATAATCAAAGTGGCTGTGTATAGAGCTGTGATTAATGTAACCAAAGTCCATTTGGGGTCATGAAATCTTCTGGAAACTGCCACATATGTGATTATGCTATAGTCTTCTGTGTCCTTTAACTGTAAGAAACTTGATCTCAGCTACTGCATTCCTGTTTGCACATAGTCAACAAGTATTAATATAGTTTGGAAATTTCCTCCAGGGATATTTTCACTTCAGTAAAGTCATACCGCAAGAAATGGAATGCATGAAGCTGAAAAAGATGTTTGTCTCAGTTAAAGAAAGGAAGAGTATTTAAGGAACCTAAAAATTTTAGTTTTTTTGGAATGTTTCTTTATTTGAAAGAGTGACAGAGGGAGAAGGTGATATGGAGAAAGAAAGAGATCTTCTGTCTGTTGGTTGACTCCTTAATGGCTACAATCACTGGAGCACAATGAAACCAGGAGGCAGGACCTCCATCTGGATCTCTCGCTTGGGTGGCAAAGGCCCCAGTACTTGCGCCATCTTCTACTGGTTTCTTATGCACATTAATAGTGAGCTTGGTCAGAAGGGGAGCAGCTGGAATTGAGTGTCATCGTTGCGCAGGGACCATGCTAATCTTCTCTGTATCATTCCAATTTTAGTATATGTGCTGCTGAAGCGAGTACGGGAAGCAGCTGGAATTGGAACAAGTGCTTTGAGATAGGATGCTGGTGTTGTAAATGATGCCTTAACATGCTGCACCACAGGCTCCAAAAATTTCTAGTGATTCAACTTTCAGGTTTAATACTGGGTCAGGGTGTATTTTGTGTAGCTATCTAGTAGTCAGGAAATCTTGTAGAAAACCCAACAGGTAACTGAAACCATATGTTACTATTTTTAAAAGGATTGCAGTATAATTTTTTTTGTTTTTTTTTGCATTTTATATTATTATTGTTCTATGATACAGTTCCACACACCCTGGGATTTTCCCTACTCCCTTCCCCAAGTCTCCACTGACCGCCCCCCCCCCACTGAGTTCTTCCTTATCAATGCAACAGTCACAAATCATCATTGAGGGTATAGACAATAGAAGAGTCCAGCATCCCATTGTCAAGACATATCCAGCAGTTTCACTGGGAGTCCGTCCTCAATCCAAATGTAGAGATGCACACAGCACCATATCCTCACATCTTGGACATGTCGGTCGCTACTACACATTCAGTATAAACCCCCCCAAGTGAAAAGCCACAACAAAATCAACAATAGGAAGAAAAAAAGAAACTTACAATCACACGAAATTAAATAACATGCTATGGCATGACTAATGTGTCATTGAAGAAATGAAAAAGAAAACCAAGAATGTTCTTGAAGATGATGCCACTGTATAATTGTTGAAGAATTTAATGAGAAAAAAGTGTTGAAGAAATGAAACTAAAAACAAAAACATCAAAATCCATGAGACATAATTTCTATTAATCTTTGTTGGTGAGATGTACCTCCTGTAAGCAACAAATAGATGGGTTTTGTTTTTTAATTCGGTCTACTAATCTGTGAACTTTGATTGAGTAGTTTAAGACACATTCAGGGTTGATATGAATTGATGGTAATTTGGTTCTGTATTTCAACAATGGGTTGTTCATTGATTTAATCTTCTGTTGTTATTTTACTGGAATGTCCTTCACATTTGCCTTTGGTTTTGGTGGGTGCTATTCTTTTTCTCTGTCAAAAAAAATACATTTGAGTATCATTTGTAGGAAGAATAGCTATATTGAGTAATTGAGACATTTTAAAAAAACTTTTCAGGTAGTTCAGTGTGCCTCCAGTTTCGTCATCAGTGTATAAGATATCACCACCTTCACCCTTACAGTAACAGGCAAAATTGAGTGGCATCTCTCAATACTTTATAAAGTATTATTGTCTATGTTGCCTTTAAAAATTCTCCCTGAGTATCCATGAGATATCAACATATTCTTTTAATCTGTGCGTAAAATTTAATTAGGCACTATTTGAGCATCTGCTCTGAGATGACTTTGCTTTTCTCAAGATTTCTCTTCAGACAAGTTTTCTGCATAAATCATGAAGCATTGAAGTTTCCTGTTTCCCTTAAGGAATATGGAGTAACAAGATTTGATCAAAGATAAATATGATGAAGTGAAATAGGATGTGCTGTAAAATAGTGTATTCTCCCTATATGACAATTCATCTTAAATTCCCTTTTGCTTGGGCAGCTCCCTTAATGAATAAAGATATTTTTATCTTTTAAAATGATTATTTCTTTTCCCTGAGTTTTGAACAATAGTCAGGAGAAAGTATCATTTATCATTCATAGCAATAAAAATAACCATGTTTTTGAAAAATGATAAGATGGTAAAGCATTTTATGTTGGACATTTGGGGAAATCAAAGAGGATCAATATATCTGGAAAATAAGTTAATATACCATTTGTTATATCCTGCTGAACTTTTAAAGTGGTTGATGAATCCAAATTTAAAGTAAAAGTAAAAGAATTAGTTCTCTGTTTTCACTTATAGTGCTGTTGTTTAATTTTTCAGTTTTACTTCCATGCACACTTACATTACACCTCAATAGCTTAAGTATTCTTAGATATATGTAGACCAAAATGAAAAGTAAGACAAGACCTCATTGTAAAGCATCCGAAACTTACTTTTGAAGATAAGCAGAAGAAAAAGGAACATGATTTTTTACAATTTTTTGGTAGTTTCCTTCCCATGTATCTTTGTTTTTATTTATATATTAAGTCTCTATTTGTAAGTAGGTTTTAGATTATGGAATACTTGGAAAAAATAGTGCTAAGCAGGGTAGATCTTCCATTACAATGGAGTGGAGATCTCAGAAAATACAGTTTAACATAAAAATCAGTAAAAATATTGGGCAAAAATATCAAAATTGTCTTGCTCAGTGCTCCAGAAACAAAGCCATAGCTTGCATAATATGAATTAGTTAAAAACAAAACAAGCAAAAAAAAAAAAAAAAACCAAACCAAAACAAAACCCACCAGTGGATTCCAAGAACGTTATAGTTTGTGGCACTTTACCTTGTTTCCCGTCCCTTTTACTCCCCATTTCTTTTGCCACTTCTGTGGTATCCCTGAAATGATGCAGTGGTAGCAGCCACTGGCTGGGAAGATGAGATTACACTTCCTCAGAAAGCCCCTTTCTTCGCTATTGTCAACGATCAGCACTAATTTCTTAACATTGCTGCTAAGGCGATAGTAATACAAATAAGTGATGGGGAAGAAATTTTAATAGAAGATGTGTAGCATGAGAATTGCACAGGTGTTTTGCAGTGTTCCAGAGCATCCAGGCTGAGGCCGAGCTGAGCCCACCTTGCTGAGCCTCTTGTTAGGCACCTGGAGTGCACTGGGATATTTTAGTAGTTGGGTTGCTGCCTCCAATTGGGAGACCTGGATTGGGTTGCCGTTTCAGTCCTGGCCAAGTCTCAGCTATTGAGGACATTTCAAGAGTGAATAAATAAATAATAAATATGTTTTAAAAAAGCAAATCTTTGAAGTATTTTCACTAATCTGAGCTGGCCATATACCTTAAATACCCAAACCTAACAAAAGAAAAATCTCATTTTGAAGTAATATTCCTACCAAGTATACATATGCTTCAGGATCGCACTCAGCATTGTCATGTATTCTACTTAATTCAGTCTGAGATTCATACCCGACAAGTGATGAGCTGCCATTTAGATCCATCCATTTGTAAAATGAGAATGCTCACTCTTTTAAAGCCTGTGATTTTAACATGTAATATTTGTACACATTTATGGGATGTAGACTGACATTTCAATATATGTATTTAATGTGTACTAATCAAAACAGAGCAATTAAATTTCTATTTCTTATTGCTTCTTCATATATTTAGATATTTTAAGTTCTAGTTCTTCATGACATATATGGTAGGTTATGGTGAAATATAATACCCTACTTACTGTAGAAAATTTAAACTAATTCTTCCTCTATTCTGTTACTCATATCTAACTTTGTTTTAAACATTTCCAGTACTCATCTTAGTATCTAATAATTGGTTTTGCCCTTTCTTCTCTTTTTAGAGAATCTTTTTTTGTTTCTACATATGGTTTGTCTGTTTGTGCCTAGTTTATTCCATACAACAGTTTCATCCATGCTACCACAGATAACAGGTTTTCATTATTTTTATGACTGTGTATACTATTCCACTATGTATGTATACACTGCCTTTTCTTCATCCATTTAATCATTCATGAAAAGTGGGTTGATTTCATATTTAGTTTTTCATGAACAGTGATACAATGAGAGCAAATGTTGCTTTCATATGATGATTTTATTTGCTGTGAATATTTACCCAAAAGTCAGATAACTAGATTATATACTGGAAATATGTTTAGTTTTTTGAGGAATCTCCGTAATGTTTTCCATAGTAGCTTAATTTATGCTCCCTCCAACAGTGTAAATCTTACTTTTTCTCTGTAATGTCACCATCAATAACTTTTTTTATTTTCTGAGAATAATTGTTTTGAGTAAGGTAATATATATTTCGCTGTAATTTTGAGTTGCATCTCCTTGACAGCTGGTGATATTGACCAGTTTTCATTAATCTTGACAATTTGTGTTTTATCTTTTAAGAAATATTCAGGTCTGTTGCCAATTTTAAACTTATATATTTGTTTTCTTGTTGAGTTTATTGAGCTCCATACATATTATAGGGACTAATTTTTGCAGTATAAATCCTTTCTTTCGCCTTGCAGGCTCTCTCTCTTCACTTGATTATTATTATTATTATTATTATTATTTTACTGGACAGGAGCTTCTTAGTGTGATGTCATCATATTTATCACTTTTGGCTTTTGTTGCTTGTACTTTTTACATCTTAAAAAAATCATTGCCTATACTGAAATCTTGAAGTGTTTTCTCTATGTTTTCTTCCAATAGTTTCATATATTTAGGTCTTACATTTAGATATCTGATCCAGATTGAGTTGATTTTTGTGTGTGATGAGAGATGAAGTAGCTAGGCTAATTCTGCCTCTCAATGCCCAGTTTTGCCAGCACTATTTATTGAACAGACTGTCCATTACCCAGCATTTATGTTGGAGTGTTTAGCAATATCAAGTTGGCGGACATGTATGCATTTATTTCTGGTATCTATTCTGTCATATTAATCTCTGTAGGTTTTAATACAAGTATCATGATTTGCTTGCTATAGTTCTCAAGTACATGTTGAGATAGGTATTGTGAAGACTCCAGTTCTTTTGTTCAAGATTGCTTTGATTATATGGGACATTGCGTGCTTCCATCTGCATTTTAGGATTGATTTGTCAATTTCTGTGAAAAATATCACTGCTATTTTGCTACAGATTGCTTAGGATTCATAAACTGCTTTGTGTAATATGTATGTTATAACAGCACTAAGTTTTAAAATCTGTGAATAAGGGATGGATTTCCTGTTTGTGCGTGTGTTTTCATTTTTATTGGAATTGTCATTTACTTCTGTGATTATTTTTATTGCTAGGTTACTTTTTCTTTGTAGTTGGAAATGGGATTGCTTTTATGATTTCTTATTCAGCAAGTTTTTTAAATTAGTTGATAAATATCAATGAGTTTTATATATTTTGTATTCTGTAGTTTTACTGAATTCTTTTTTGTTTTTATAAGTCTTTTTTTTTAAAAGATTTATTTTATT